CAAGATCCTGAACTCAATCATCTTGTGGTCACTGCTGCCCAACTTGCCATCCACTTCAGCGTCTCCCACCACTACTTCCCTGTTTATGAACAGTAGGTTAAGAAGAGCCTGGTCCCCAGTTGGTCTCTCCAACACTTGCGCCAGGAAGTTATCTCCAATGCTCTCCAAAAATTTCCTGGACTTCCTGTGCATTGCTGTATTGCCTTTCCATCATGTCAGGGTCACTGAAGTCCCACATAAGAACCAGGGCCTGTGATGTGGAAGCTGCTGCTAGTTGTCTGAAGAAAGCTTCATCTACCTCATCCTTCTGGTGTGGTGGTCTATAGACCACAACCTCACCCTTGTTGCTCTTCCCTCTAGTCTTAACCCAGGGACTTTCTACAGGCCTATCTCTAGTTTCATACTGGAGCTCTGAGCAATCATACAGCTCTTTTACATACAATGCAACTCCTCCTCCTCTTTTCCCCTTCCTTTTCTTCTTGAGCATTTTGTACCCATCCATGACAGTGCTCCAGTCATGTGAGCTATCCCACCAAGTCTCTGTTTTTCCAATCGCATCATAGTTCCTTGATTGTATAAGGCCTTCTGATTCTTTTTGCTCGTTTCCCAGGCTCTGTGCGTTTGTGTACAGCCACCTGAGGTGACTAACCAGTTGCCCTACTTTCTCAGGAAGAATGAAGCCTCCCCTATTGTCCACTCCTGATTCTGCTTCCTCCATTTCCCCCCTTTTCCACACTTACCTCAGGGCTTTGTTGTCCATCCCCCAGCGAACCTAGTTTAAAGCCCTCCTCACTAGGTTAGCAAGCCTGTCTGTGAAGATGCTCTTTCCTCTCTTCATCAGGTGAATCCCATCTCTTCCTAGTAATCCTTCTTCCTGGAACAACATCCCATGGTTGAGGAAGCCGAATCCCTACTGCCTTGTCTGGAAGGCATTAACATCAAAGATGCAGAGACATATTGTTAGAAGTAGTAGTATAATTTTAATGGGTAGGTTATAGAGCTGGAATTTAGGAGACTTATTTTCCTGATCTTATCACTAACTTACTGTGTGACCTTTGACAAGTCTGTTGTTTTCCTCCTTGATATGAGAATTATCATAGTTGACTTTCTTTGTTAGGGGGCTTTAATAGGCATGTATGAAAAGCTCTGTATTCAGTTAGTAGTGATGAAACATACAAAGGGCAATTTTGTGGGGATAACAAGGAAGAAAAGTATTCTGTGCCAGATGTATTCAGCTGTGTAAACTCTCCTAAAGGAAGCAGAATCAGCCATTTGTGAGGATTTTTTCCTAAATGAATTTGGTGAAGATGGTAGACAAAGTAGGAGAAACAGTCCCACATTTCCAGGAAGATGCACTAGATGATTGAACAGGTTTTTTCATCTCTAATATCTGTGAATGTATGTATGAAGACTGCATTTTGTCTTTAGTTGGTACAAATCTGCCTGTCGAGAGTTCTGAAGTTTCAGTCACAGTTTTTAATGCCATAGGAATGCTTTTAAAGTAAACTTGTCATTTTTTTAGGGATTAGGAAGGATGAGGATGTTGATTTCAGTAACAGCTGTTAATTTGAATTCCTGCCAATTGTTCAAAGACCTCCAAGCAGTTTAGAATGAGCTGTTTCAGCTAGTCTCTACTAATAGCCAACACTATTAGTGTTATTCAGAAGAATTGTACATTGTTTGGAGTCTTTCATGCCTTTACTCTACATCTGCTTTCTGGCTGAATTTTAAATGTCTTGTTATAGTGTGGCAGTCTATAAGCAGTAACCATTTCCTGTAGTTTCAATTACCCACTTCAATTTAGGGATGGGGTATGATCCGAGTTGAAGCAACACTGCTAAAACAGTTGGAAAAGCATGCAGAAAGTAAAAATGTATCTATTATCTCTTGTATTCCTGCATCTGCAGTAATAACTATTGGTTAACGACATTCTCATTTAAAACAGAGGATACTTTTGAAGACCATATTGAAACTCATTGATATAGCAAGAGATCCTGTCAGGGTGAATTTTTAAATAGACTATTCTAAGTGAATTCAGATTTATGATGGTGAGCCCTTGAAATATTAGGCACAGAAATTGTAATAAATAAATAATATTTTAATTAGTTTTAATTTCCCCTGCTCATTAGCTGATGATCTATGAATAATCTATGAAAAATGAGTGAGAAACTACTGTCTTCTAATATTTGAGGTATCTTGTAAAACAAGAAGTACCCTAAATTATCAAGTAGCAGGTTTAAATAAGTACTTTTTTACATATTGCATAAATAACATGTGGAATTCATCGCCACAGGATATTGTGAACACTAATACTATAATCAGATTCAAAAAAGGATTAGAAAAAATTGGTCTGTTGGGATATTAAACATAACAATTATGGATGTTATCTGAGGCCCATAACATCCCTAAGCCCAGGAATGGATCTAGGATTTTGAGAAGGTGGGGTATGATATAGTTTACTGCATATGCACTACACAGAAGGAGAGTGTAACCACAATACCTGTCTAAGCCTGTAACAGCTAGTGACTGGCAAGGCTTGGCGGGGGATGGATCACTCTACACATTTCGGGGTTTTTTTCTTACACTTTTTACTCTGAAGCAGGAGCGTCCAACATCCAGCCAGTCTTTTTACTCTGAAGCAGGGGTGTCAAACATCTGGCCCTTGGAGATGTATCATCTGGCCTGTGAGTCTTCTGTAGTGGCCAGGAATTAAGGGGTGGGGCCCATCAGTGAATGCCAGTGACAGAGCCTTGTCAGAGAGTCAAGCAACAGCTGCACTAACCTTTACCGCTTCCTGATGCTGCTCGCCCCACCACCAAGAGTAGGTCTGTATTCAGCTGGTGAAGCTCTCTGCTCTAAAGCAGTTACTAATTGCCAGTGTGGGAAACAGAATACTGGGCTAGATGAACCTTTGATCTGACTCATCACGGTAGTTCTTCTATTGGCAAAGACTTATATGACAACATATGATGATGAATGAAGTCATACATATTTGTAGTTCATGGATTTTCCAGTTTCTTAATGTGATTGCCTTTACTTCTCTTTTTAGGAAGGGTTGGCATAGAAATAAAATAAATAAGGAACTCATGCATGAGTTCTCCTGCTAATGAAGGAAATTGATGAAGTAGGCTGTTGCCTATGAAAGCTCATACCTCTGTGAACCAGTTAGTCCCAAAGATGCTACCCTGCCCTACCTTCTACCTGACTTCAGAATAACATGACTAACTGCCTGTGTGTATGTGTATTTTAGGATTTGGAATCTCTAATTTATACCATTGATCTCTGCTCCTCTTTGATTTATTTTCCACTATTTTCAGTGTTACTTCTTTCTAACACAGTTCCTCATAAGGAGTTTCGTTTTCTCCATAAATAGTATGCTGTGCCCTATACAAAATGGGCTGTTGCTAAGATATGCTTTGGCAGTTCTGAATGTCCAGATGTTGTGTTTTATAGATCGACTTCACAAAAATGAATAAACTTGTATAGTAAATAATGCCTTTAAAGCTAATCCAGTCCTAAAGAAATTTGAAAACCTCAATCAGAAATAAAAATATTTCAAGAGGTCTTCTGTTGAGTAAAAATTAATTTGATCATTTATTTTTTCTAATATAAACATCAGATTTAAAGACATTACCAGACTGAACTCACTCTAACATTTAAAATATTAAAAAAATTATATGCCTTTGGGAGGACTGAGAGAGATGCTTTGAATAAAATTTAAGGTCTTTACCATAGCTTTAAATAGGTTTTTTATAAAGATCCTGTTGAAACAAAATAGTTCTAAATATTCAGTTAAAAGATAAATATTTATATAAAGATTTCTAAATTCTTAGTAAGCTGCATTTAAAATATTTTCCTTCTATCTTGACACATTAAAAGTTTTATTTAGGAAAAAAAAATCATTTATTAGAATTATTCTATAGTATTGTTTTGAAAAGAGAAATGCTGTTTGTTTCTGTTTTACCCATTGGATTTTAATTTAAAGCAGTTGAAAGGTTTATTGAATTAAATGCTTCAAATAAACTCCTGCCTTGTTATTTTTTCCTAGACTGCCTACCTTATGTACCATTCTAGATTGCATCAGTGCTCTGATGAATCTGAACATATATACCAGTATATGCTTGACTAGCATATGGATGCAGTGTTATTCCATTAAAAAAAAAAAAAACAACTTTCCTTCTTCAAGCTAAATCATTGTTTCATATAGCGATCAAAACCTGCCTTGACTAGTTGCTTCCTCTCTAATTTTTTTATTTTTAAATACTGAATTCTGCTCTGTTCATCTCTAAAATGTCCATGTCAAATTCCTCTTGCTTTCCCATGCATCACTATGATCGAAGTTTAAATCGGCATTAAAAACATATATTGTATATCATCTCTCACTCCACGTTTGAGTCATGTTGTTGATTCCTGGTTAAACTGTCCAGCAAGGTCAGGTTTCTTGCTGTTCTGTTTTCAGCCCCATATCTTGAAGCCCTCAGCCATCTGTGCCCGTCTCTCTTATATTCTACACAGACGTCTGTGGTTTGCCACGTGCTTTCTCTCTTGTTTTCTCCAAATTATTCAGCTCATGCTTGGAGTGTCCTTCCAAAATCTGTTAAATCTGCATTCTTACTTTGTTCAGATAACTCCTAAAACACATCTACATCACCTAGAAAAATGAATAGATTTAGAATTAAAGCCACAAAAAAGATGACATGCTTTAGCTAAATCTGTCATGTTTTTCGGTCACTTACATGTGCTTCTTCCTCAGTATGTTTCTTGCATGTTAGGTCCTCATTTGTCTGTCAAGCACATAATTTAGATTCTAAAATCTTTGGTGCAGAGATCTATCATTCTTCTATTTTCTAGGCTTTGCCTATTCCAGAATGCACTCAAATACTAAAGAAACTGTTCTAATGATCTAATGTACATTGGAAAAGGGGATAGTATTTATGTATGGATTTATCAATGCTGTATATGTGTATGAACCATGTAACAGGTTTTTCTTTAAATTGCAGATTGTGAGTCATGCCTTTAGTAAAGAGGAACATTGAACCTAGGCACCTCTGCCGAGGAGCTCTGCCTGAAGGAATTTCCAGTGAACTGGAATGCGTAACCAACAGTACTCTTGCTGCTATTATACGGCAACTTAGCAGTTTAAGTAAGTACCTGAACTTCAGTGTGTAAGTGCTGTTCCATGTCTTCAAAGAGCTCTGCAAACAAAATATTTCCTAAATAGCAAGTGTTTACAATAGTAGAAATGGTAGCACAGAAACCTAAGTGATGTGCTTATGTTTCTTTCCATCAAGTGATTGTTGGAGCCAAGATTACAACTTGAGCCATGAGTTGCCAGCTTTCAGTTTTGGGTGCAGTTCAGTAGATTGCTTGGCCACTTGGAATCAGATGGCTAGTTTCATTTGTCTTATTAATGTTAATTTTTCATTAAAACTTCCTGGCTCATGGCCCATTAAAGCATTTCAAAAAGACGTGTAAACAGAGTGAGAGATGATTGCTGAGGAAAGTAGAATAATTTTAGAGACCACCTTGGTTTTGTTAAAGGAAATGTTTTCCTCCAGCTTCATGAAGTAATGGCATCAAATAGCTTTATGAAGTAATTCTGATTGTATAAAGTCCTTTGGTAAACAGTCTAGGCTTCAGACATCATATAGTGAACCCTTTAGATGTTATTTCTGAGAGTTCAAATGTATTGGGAAAGTCTGATTGCAGTTACTAGTAAACTGACCTTTTTTGTGACTATTAAGCTCTTATGCCTAGTCCATGCTTTGCTGACTAGTGTTCAAAGAAAATAATTACATTTAAATATTTAGAGCATTACATTTAAATATTTCCCTATGGGGAATCTTTTGAAGAATGTATTCTCAATGCTTTTTTCTTGGGAGGGAATGGTACAGGAGTACACTTAAGGAACCAGTAAGTTGTCCAAATACCTCTTTAAGGCTAGGAACGGGCATTCAGAAATCCTGAGCCCCAGTTGATTCAATCTTTGCAGGTTAGTCTAACCTGGGTAGATTGAACTAGCGAGCAAGTGAATAGACATTCACTTTTGATTCTGAAAATGCAGCTACTTGCTTGCAGTGGCTCAGGCTAGAAGCCAGGAGGTGCTAGAGCGAGCCCTCCCTTTCCTTCAGGCTGGGGGAAGAACTAGATTTGGAACTCCTGAGGCAGCTCTCGGAGACGATAAAGGCTAGGAAGGCGGTAGTCATGGGGGACCTAAACTATCCTGACATCTGCTGGGGGAGACAGACAGCAAATTCCCACCGTTCACGCAGGTTCCTATCCTCTGTACAGGACCTCCACCTGATGCAGGAGGTACATGGTCCCATTAGGGGGAATGCCTTACTGGACCTGGTAATGGCAACAGGGGATGACATGGTAGGGGACCTACGGATCAGTGGTCACCTGGGGGACAGTGACCACCAAATAATAGAATTCATCATAAGGTGTAGAGTGGGTAAGATAACTAGTAGGCTGGAAGTGCTAGACCTTAGGAAGGCTGACTTCAGCAGACTTAGGCGTTTAGTCAATGACACACTGCAGAGTAAGAGATTTGGCGAGATGGGAGCCCAGGAAGAGTGGTTGTGCCTTAAGGAAACGATCCTTCCAGCACAGAAGGAGACGACCCCAGTGCGGGGGAAAGTGGGGAAAGGGGCCAAGAGGCTTCCCTGGCTGAACAGAGAAATCCAGAGTAGCCTAAGGGTAAAAAGGGGGGCATATAAGCAGTGGAAACAGGGAGAGATTACTAAAGAGAAGTATACCTCCTCAGCTCACAGTTGCAGGGAGGCAGTTAGAAAGGCCAAAGCTACCATGGAGCTGAAGATGGCATCCCAAGTTAAGGATTACAAAAAATTGTTTTTCAGATATATAGGGAGTAAAAGAAAGGCCCAGGGCAGTATAGGACTGCTACTGAATGGGCAAAAGCAACTGGTGACAGACAGGGGGACAAGGCTGAACTCCTCAATGAGTTCTTTGCCTCAGTGTTCCTAAATGAGGGGCAAGACAAGTCTCACAATGGGATTGTAGAGAGACAACAGCAGGGCGCCAGACTACCAAGCATTGACCCTGACATGTCGCAGAGTCACTTGGAAGAACTGGATGCGTTTAAGTCGGCAGGCCTGGATGAGCTCCATCCGAGGGTACTGAAGGCACTGGCTGACATCATTGCACAGCCACTG